CTAGGATCTTTCTGTGCTAACAAGGTGGCACTTATTAATAGTAGGCCAGAGTTCATTTTTCTGCATTAAAAAAAAAAAAAAAAGTTCTAGACCAACAGAAAAAAGGAAAAACAGAAATACACTTTCTACTTCTGTCCCCTAGATTTTGAGAGAATACAGAATTTCTATGGCATATTAGAAGGTTTTCTTCACTCCCAAGAGTGTAAGTGAACATCATGCTACATCTCAAGACAAAATCCTGGCCCACCATAACACTTAAATTCAAAATCCTGTCAACATTAGTTACGTTTTTCTTTTTTTGCTTTACCCTTTGAGTTTCTTTTACTGTGATACAGAAGGAACTCAGAAAAGTTTTTCAGTTATGTACAAATAAATAGGGATGAAATTTATTCAAAAAGAAAAGAAAACTCCAGGCATTCTGTTTTAAAGACATAAACCCAACAAAATGGACTGTCTCCCCCCTCCACTGTAGCCCGTACAGCCATTCCATTCCTTACCTGGTAACATTGCTCAGCTCTTCCTTTCCATTATGACGTGGCTGCAAAATTAGGTCATGAAGTTTAACGAAACCGTTGGGAGAAAGAAGGGGTTAAAGGGAAAGGAAAAAAAAAAAAAAGGAAAATCAAAAAAAGAGAAATAAGCCCTATTCTCAGTCATTCACTACACTGAATGAATATTTCCACCTCTTTTTTCTCATCCATTTCTTTTCTCATCCATTCGAGTGTTGTCTCCTGCACTCATGGATCGTATGTAGAATGGAAAAAGGATCTCTATGAGAGGCAGGTAAATTTTACTCAGAAGCCTCTAGCGGTAACTGACGACCGCTTGGCCTTCACACCACAACTCAGCCTTCGGTGCTATCCAACCGTGAGTATTATTTTAGCTGGAATACCATCTATGAGCTTTAACAGCCAGGGGAGAGGAAGAGGTTTCCAGAAGTCATGGAAGAAACTACTGCTACTGTTTGTTATGAACTCGAGGCATACGTTTTTACTTCTCATTTTAAAAATCGGGATCTTGCTCAACTGCCTTATGTCATTCCCATCTGTATCGTAGTGAGGATTCGGGTGAAGAGGGGTGAAATATGTCCTTATAGCGATGATGTGTTTTACTGGTAAAGCTATAAGTGTGTGTGTGTGTGTGTGTGTGTGTGTGTGTGTGTGTGTGTGTGTGTGTGTGTGTGTGTGTTTATAAATAAATGAGATCCTGCCAATATCTCCTTTATAATCCGGGAAATCTGACTGCAGAAGTCTGACAACTCAGTGAATTTTCTGATTCCAAAAGGGTAGCTATCTTACAATCACTATATGGTGAAGCGTAAGTTCAAATATAAATTTATAGACATTGATTATTGGAAGAATACACAAATCCCCCCTCTAAGATTTATATAAAGCACTCCTACAAACAAAAAAATCAATTTTAAAGACTCAGGAGAGGGTATACTCTATTTTCCATAGTTTTTGTTATTATTATTATTATTATCAGTGGCAATAAAACTGGATAAATTTGAAATTTATTGTGTACAATACTTTTGAACTTCATTCTCGGTCAACGTGATATCCTGGGAAATCAGGTTCAGTAACAAATGAGCAAGGAAAGGTTCCTTTGCTCCTTGTGCGTGTAGGTGTGCGATGAGGCAGGAAGGTTCTCGCTCCCTTCCTCTTCGCGGTCATTCATCGTTGCAGGTACCGCTCTCATTTTGAGATAGACCTTCGTGCTGATGGCCTTACAAATGCTGTGGGAAGAGCAGCCGCACCTTTAAAATAGACCACCTTAGCCGAGCTCTGCAGTAACCAGATAATTTCCCCATCGCCCCGAGAGCAGAAAGAGCGTTTTGAGATACACGTAGTCGCAGCCAGGTAAACCAATTCCCTTTTGCCTAGTCCCGTCTGCTGACCGCATTTGAACTAAGACAACAGCTTCTGCCACTACGGGCCACTGGAATCCACATATTTTTAAAATAAATCTTTAAAGGCTTTGGCCAGCTCTCCCGACGTGTTTGAAAGGTGCTGTTAACTCCCCTTCAGTGTTTGCTTGTGTCTGTGTATAAACATCCTCCACACACCCCCAAACTAAAATCCTTGCAACGCAATTCGCTGGGATGCTTTGCGAACTCTGAAGGGGAGTTAAAAGCATCCCAGCGAATCGCGGGGCAGGAAATTTGCAGTTGGGGAAGAAGACGGTCATACACAGGTACGGAAGAAAGGCAAAAAGAATCAAAGGAGTAGCTAGCCCGGGCTACAAATCAAATGTTACAGTGTGGGGAGAAAAAAAGCTGGGGGGATGGAATCCAGTTAC